TCAAAAGATCTCTGCCAGAGTTAGAATGAAATATGTTTCATTTATCATGCATTATTTCTTTGACTCTGAGATCTCAATTTACTCTACAGAGAAGAAAATGCTCTCTATCACTCACCTTTCATTCTGCACAGAAGAATAGGTACAAGTTTGGGTTTACTGAGAAATAGATCTAACCGTAAAGTAGATCTTTTCAGTATCAAAACTTTGCCTGCCTTTTTTTTTTTTTTTCTCCTTGTTTTTAGAATAAATTAATTTGAGATTACAGAGACAGCATAACAGAGCTGAATGTTTGCTGTTTATGAGCTTTTGTACACTGAAGAGGAGGAATAGAAAGTTCAATGAGATAAAACTCAGCTCCTAGTCCCTCTGAGGCTATTTATTTTTTTGGTGAAGGAAGATCAAAGTTACAGCAGTTTTAACATGCGTTGACTTAAGTAATTTCCTGTTTTCCAGGCTTAGTTTTGCTGTTTGTGTGTTTATTCTTCCAAGGCAGATGGTGTGAGTGTTTGGAGCAGCAGAAAATATGCCACAGTTGTGTTAACACTATTTTTATCTTTTCTTTGATGTTGCCAACTGTTCTCATTATAGTGAGCATCTCGTCACTGGTATGTGAAATAGTTGAAAGTCATTTTCGGAAAATTTCTGGAAAACAATACAGCACAGAGGTAGAATCTACTTTTTGTGTAATTTTTCTCTGTGTTCTTTTGGAAAGGCTGACAATTCACTGGTAAGTAGGGGATGAAGTTCTTATTTTTCCTTCTTATTGGCTCTTAACATAGAAACAACCTCTTCTCTTACCACACGTGGATTATTTTGAATTATCATAGAATGAATCATAGAATCGTGGAATGGCCTGGGTTGAAAAGGACCTCAAAGATCATCTAGTTTCAACTCCCTGCTATGCACAGGGCTGCCGACCAGCAGACCAGGCTGCCCAGAGCCACATCCAGCCTGGCCTTGAATGCCTGCAGCAATGGGGCATCCACAGCCTCCTTGGGCAACCTGTTCCAGTGTCACCAACCTCCATGTGAAAATCTTCCTCCTAATATCTAAGCGAAATCTCCCCTATCTCAGTTTAAAACCATTCCTCCATGTTCTATCACTATCCACTCATGTAAACAGCCGTTGCTCTCCTGTTTATATGTTCCCTTCAAATATTGGAATGGGAAATTATGGAAAAAGACAGATGAGAAGAATTTAACCTGTATTTCTTGGGCTTCGATGATATTTCTGATTTGCTTTAATGCAAACACAAAATTTTACTTATATCAAAGAGAGTCTGCAGATTTTAATTTCAAATATCAAAATAACCTTTGAAAATGGTGACCTTAAAAATACACATTTCCCCGCTTTCAGGAATTTTCCAAATAGTCCTAAACAGAAGGTACAGAACGACACATAGTCTTGAAGAAAATGGTATCTGACAGCTTCAAAAAAATTATGTAGGAGGAAAAAATATATCATTTTAATCAAAGCACTGAATGAGAGTGCTTCGGGGTTGAACTGCGTACAGAACATCAGCATGCAGATAATGAGTGCAGTGAAAAGGCATCACTACTCAGGTATTATGAAATTATTTTTTTGCTTTGCTTAATTGAAAAAATAGAGTTTGATCTCAATAAATATCCTACATTTAATCTATAAAGACGTTAAAATTAAAGAGTGAAAAAATAGAAGAGATTTGTATTACTGGTGCTTTGGGATTATTCTTTCTGGTATTTTATGATGGCAGGAATGTTCACAATAATGTTAACTTTGAAGTGCAAAATATTTGAGAGTATTTGATCAATATATGTTTTGAATTTATAAGTACATTTTCACGTCAAATGCTGGATTCTAAGAGCAATACTCATACTGGCAGGAGTCAGATCCAATAATATGTGACCCACATAAGCAATGAAATCTAATTGAAACTGTTCAAATTGCAGATGTTGGTATGAAATGCTAGTGAACAACCTTCAGAGCAAAACTCGCTCATCTAATTATCCACTGGGTAACTCTGAATAACAAACAAAATTGAGTAAACTGTAAGCTTCTCTTCAACAGTTCTTCAAAAGAAAGATGCTTTATCTGTCCAATTATTCACAATGTATTTGTTCAGCTGTAATAGAAATGATATATGCAGAGGTTCCCTCTGGCAAATTATATCACCACTAATATGGTTCTACGCTTGCTGAGCTTTTTCATACAAAGCTCCTCCTAATGCCTACTAATGTCTATGGAGTGCTGAAGAAAAAGCTGAGGATTGGGTTATTGTGACTGTGATGAAGAGCTGCAGAAATGAGTTTGCAATGTCCTTTGCTGCACAACATTTTGTGTTAAAATGCAGTTTTGCAGTCAGCAGTAGACTATGAGATCTTTCTACTGCTTGTGTCTTGTTATCATGGGCATTACAAATACTCTTTTCCTTGCACTAAATCTCAGCTGTTATTTTCAAAATTATGGTATATATTTAGCAGAGAAATGTCAGAAGTTTTTGTGCTTTCCATAGGTAATGTATGAGAGAAAACGTTTGATCTTTTAGACCCTCAGGTCCAGATGTCAAGCACAGTATCCTTATGCCCAATTGTTGGATGTTCCAATTATGGTTCCTACATGTTGTTCTAGCCCTGCTGATAACTCTGTGTGATGGTAGGTGTAGATTTGAACTCCATGTGACTGAGTTTGGTGGTAGGCCAAACATTCTGGTGGTAGGCCTACATTCTGCTGGTTTCCATTATGTATCAGAAATATAGTTTACTCTTTCATATTTCCCTAGTTATTGTGTTGATTCTGGCCAATGTATGTTTACATAACACGTTTACTTTCTTGTAATTTCAAGCTAATATACATAAAACTTTCTCGTAATATTTTTCTCATTAATATCCTTTGTTATCCTGTCTGTCATCCCGATCTGAAGTGAGGTATCTTTAATAACTTGTCTTCTCTAAATCTCTTTAATTGTTTTCATTGTACCACCATCTGAATAAAAGTTGTATTCTCTTGAGAAAATAAGGAAGCTGTGGATCACAGAATCATGGAATTTTAGGGGTTAGATGGGACTTCTGGAGATCATCTAGTTCACCCCTACTGCTAATGCACATTGGTGGCAGAAGAGATTACTGCTTCTCAAACCTGTGAATTTTGAATGTAATGTGCTGTGTGTCTGTGCCCAAGTGCTGGCAGGGGCCTCTGTGAGGAGAGGCTGGGGCTCCCTGAACTGGACACAGCCAGTGCCAGTTGACTCCAATGACTCTAGCACAGGGTGATGCTGTGCCCCACTGCCAACACAGCAGTGCCTTGGACAAATGGGTTTGAGAAAAGTTCAGAACCCTGTGCGTCAGTGAGGAGTGAGGAAAAAAAATATGAGAAATAGCCCTGCGAACACCAAGGTTGGATAAAAAGGTCAGGGAGGAGGTGCTATGGGTACAGGAGCCCAGGTTCTCCCACAGCCATGGTGCAGGAGGAGAACATGGTGGAGAAGACACAGAGGAGCACTTATCATACTGCCATGCCAGGGCAGGTGGATATTTCCTGAAGGAACTGCAGCCCACAGAGAGCCCACAGGAAAGCAGGTTTATCCTGAAGGACTGCAGTCTGTGGAAAACAACCCTGGAGGAGGGAAAAGCTGTGAGGAGGAAGGAATAGCAGAAAGGACCGTAATCCTATCACCCTGCCTGGGCTCCTAGGTGGGTTAGAGAAGTCAAGAATAAAAGGAGTGCAGTAGAGCCTGGGGAAAGGGGATGGATAGGAAGAAAATGTTGTAATTTCTCTCTCTCTCTTTTTTTTTTCTTCTCAATTCAAGTATTTTGTTATTAAATTAGTTTTGCCTAAGTTGAGTTTGTTAAGTCCTGATGGTAACTGGTAAGTGATTGTTTTGTCCTTACCTTGGCCCATGACCACTTTTATATTCCTCCCCTGTACTGGTGAGGAGGGGCAGCTGAGTAGATGTCAGGCAGCTGGACAAGTTTAATTTACCACACAGATAAGCTATGAAGTCAAAAGTGCTTTCATTTAATAAGTATTTTTCTTTAAATACTTAATACTTCAGTATTTAAAGAAGTACTTTAACTCTTGAAGTGTGTTTTATGAAATATAGGAAGTCTGCATACACCTAGGATCCAGTGCAGTTTGGAAGGATTTTCCATGTTTTCCAGCAGGTGGATAGATGCTCTCCACTGTATTCTGCCTTTTGAGTTACCAAACTTTTCTGAGGTTGTAGTACTACTTCCAAGATTTGCAAGTGACCGAAAAATTTGATCACTGGCTGTTGTGTGTTGTCCTCTTTACTTGATTCTATCAAGTGCCTATTTGAAGACTGACCTTCAAAGAAAAGATTGCATGGCAAGCAGGGAAATACTTTTTTGACATAAAACCTATGATTTTTTTCCCCATGGAGATCTTACAACATAGGATTTTTTAATGTTCTACTAACAAGAAAATTTCCATGTTCAAAATCTTCATATGATGTCAACAAAAACAAGAACTGCGAAGAAAAATTTACTATACTGGTGAACAGAAGAAAGTGGAAATAAGATGAGGTCTTTTAACTCTTACTACTGACTCTAGGCTATTTTAAGAACAATTGCTGCAGGGTTGATTGATGAGGTAGGTGATTGTATGGGAACTGCTGAATCATGTCCTGAACCTCTGATTGATCACCTGGGGCAAGCAATGAGTCAGCCCTGGGAGCGCAGGTGAAGGCAATTCACCTGTGCTGCTGGAAGAGGTGGAGCCTGGCTGCACCTCTCCTAGACCCATTTAAGAGCTGACTACCAGTGGAGAAGGATCTTTTCTGGAGCTTCCTCCTCTGGAGTTGTGCTGTGGGCCCAGGATGCAGGTAAGTGTTCTATTCTCTTTTTGTTATTATAATCTGCTTTGCTAAACTCTCTTCTTTATTTCATAATTATGGTCTCTTTATATTCATTGATTATACAGTGATACATTTGTAATCTCTATGTATGAGGTTTTATTTTTCAATGTCTGTAATTCTTATTTTCTTTTTTTGTTTGTCTTTTTAGGTACCCTTTGTAATAAAGAAAAAGAAACAGGAAAGCAAGGCGATGCAGGACGGCCTTGTGACAGACACATTTGGGGAGGGAGGAAGAGAAGTCTCGAGCCTTCTGGAGACATAAGCATATGTAAGACTAATGTTTGTTTGCACATTATCTTTATATGGAATATACAATCTCATTAATAAAATATTCTCCTTATATAGTGTTAAAGAGATAAGTGAGAAGCTTGATAAACTTGCTGAGTCCACAATTTTGAAATATCATAGCCTTTCAAAAGAAAGACTGGGCTACTATTGTTAGAATTATATGACTTTGTACAATCCACTGAAAGACCGATTTATTTATCTATTTATTTTTGTGAACTGTTTTACAGGCCTGTTATTCTGTTGGCATAAGTAGCAGAATGTTTTGTATTGTTGTTGTCGCTTTTTTCAAAAATGTTCCATAATGCATGAGCAAATGGGACGTAATGATTGGAATGTCTCATGCTTGGGAGAAATTAAAGGATTTTATCATCATACTTATGATATATGATAGTAGTTTGCAGTATGGAATTCACTTCTGTACGTCTGTTTCAGCAGTGGCTTTTGAAAAGATGCTGACATATTTGAGAAACTGAAAATATTATCCAAGACACGGAGGCCTATGACTTTATGAGAACTTCCTTACTTGAGTGTTGATCAGGAGGCTAGGAACACAACAGTAAGATCTACATTGTCTCCAAAGCACCGCATAATGATCTTTAGGACCTGCATATATAGAGAAGAATTGTGCGTAGATCTTACAAAAATGATCTTAGCATGGCTAAGTCAAATTTAGCTTGCAACTTAATGTGAGTAATAAGCATAAACTTCACTAAGATTCAGCGTAAGAACACATTACATAATTTTAAAGACCCTGAAGAAGCAATAATATAATCTTTCAAAACATTGTTCCATATGTACCGAATAAAAAGACAGCTTTCAGATATTTCTGTATGTTTCTAACTTCACTCGTGGCTACTTGAGAATAACATTTCAATAGTGTTCTTTTAAATTAGACCAGAATATCTACAGTCCTGAGGCATGTAGCACTAATAATTCACAAGACTATACTAGTAAGGATTGTCCATTTGGATTTTTCACAGGTAAAATCAATAAAATAAATGATCTTTTCAATAAAATGGTATTAGAAAGAGGCTTTAAAGCAAAAAAAAAAAAAAATAAAATAAAATTCAAACTTAAGTAAAGCATTTTCCTAGATGGCAGCAGCAATCATGGAATCCATCAAGAGCTGGTTCTAGACAATGCCAAGTTTAGGAGTTTGTGCCCCGTAAATTTCAAAGTATGCTTAATTTTATAGCCCTGATTCATGGATTATATCTGCAAATTCTAGCAGGTGCCTCTTGTAGCTGGAAGTGGAAGGTGTCATCAATAGGCTCCGCTTGATTGGGTGGCCTGTAGTAGATTCTGATCACAAGGCTCCCTTTGCTGCCTTGTTCTTTAACTGTTACCAATAGGCTTTTGAATTGCTCCTGACTGTTCTTTAGAGACAGCTCTTCACATTCAATTCCTTTCCTGATATAGAGAGAGCAATATCTCTTCCCTCCTTCCTCATCTGTTGTCCCTTCTGAACAGTCTGTAGCCATCGATAGCCACTCTGCAGTCATGGGAATAATCCCACCAGTTTTCAGTGATGGCAACTGTATCGTGGTTTTCTAGAATAGTAGTGCATTAGCTTCTATTTCCTCCTGTTTATTTCCCTAGCTGTTTACACTGGTGTAGAGGCACTTCAACTGAAATTCGCAGGCACTATTTCTAAGCTAAAGAAAGACATTTCTTTTCCTTATGCTTTAAAGTCTCATTGTTATCTTTAGAATGTTAGGATAATTCTGCTTATTTTATGTGTTTATATATATTTTGCAATAAGCAGAACAAGGACTGAAATAGTTGTAATATAGTCTATGTATGATGTAGAATCAATTTTGAGAGATTAAGTAGGATTCAAATGGTGCGTATGTGTTGTGCTAATTCTTTACATTGGGAACATTTAACCACTTATCAACCACATTTGTTTGAAAACATCAAGATACTCAAAAAACAGCCACATAGGGGCAGCACACATTTACAGTCAACTGACGCAAGGCTCGTATTCTTTCCTACCAGATCTGTGCTCGCTTTAAATAAAAACAAATCAAAACACAAACAGCAGCCCTAGACAATTGTCGATCTAGGCTTTTCCACTGATTAAGCACAATCTCATGACCACTTTCTTTCTGAAAATATTGTATAAAAAAAAAAAAGTAGGGAAAAAAATGCTTTTTTCTAGCCATCTTTTTGAAGAAGGTGTGGTGAAGTCTAGTCCTGATGTATTACATGTATAACTTCTGATTTTCAGAGATAGTTGGCTGTTGAAAGAACACACAAAAAAGTACTCATCCTCAGTGGCAGAGAAATTGCTGGCTTTTGTTGTTTCTGAACTGAAGGTATCAAATAAAAGCTCTGAGAACTCCTTGAACAAGTAATTTCCTACATAACTTTATTTTTTGCTACTGATAAGAAGTAAAGACTAAATGCCAGTTCTAGTATGAGTCTTCTACATTGTAAGAGAAGCAGAAGTCACATTTATGAACATCTTTGCCTGTTTGTTGATTTTTCAGGATAGTCACTTGAATGTATTTTGGTGAACGTTTGCGTATGGATGTACTTCAAATTTAATTTTTCGTTAGGTATTTTCTGTTGTTTACATCGTGAGTTCTTTGTTCTACTGCAGAAACTACTGTTTGCAATAGTGTGCAGGCAACTAAGAGGTGATTATTTTATATAATTAATAATGGTAATTACACATAATTATGATTCTATTTAAAAACAGCAGATTATGTGAACTTCTGTAGAGAAGTAGCAGTAGTCTTATCGTAACATTCAAATAACCTTATGATACACAGCTGTGTATCATTTCCTGAAACTTACTTAAAATGGCTTATATGCAACATTTTATTTTCTGCATTAAATATATTGCTATTTCTTGTGATTATAGACCTTTATTTAAAGGGATTCTGGTTTTTTACACCTTCATTTTCAGCAACTCAGTTTTTCCAGGAAGTGACTGTATCTGCTGGAAACTCTTATGTTTGTTCACTCAGATGTGAACATTTCTCTGAAGTTAAAGGAAAATCAATTTTGCTCATTTTTAATGATCTGAGTATTGTAAGATTGTTGTGATTCTCATACTTCCAGAAAATTGCTCAGATGTTATCTGATCCTGGATAGCTCAGAAATGGATTGATTGTGAGACTTGGCATGAACTCCATTACTAAGGTGAAATATGAGTTTTAATAAAGTTAAATTGTAATGGTAAAAAACCTCAGGCTCTATGTATAGCACACTGCACGTACTCGGTTTGTAGTTTCTTGTCATATCTTCACGTTTTCATTGTGCAGGCACTGGTACCAGCATATCAAGCAATAAGCTTAGTACTGTCCCAAAGCTAACAAAGTTCATTAAGGAACTCTTCTTAAACGCATTAGAGCAATAAAATTGTCACAGATATTTCCCCACTCCATTGGCTTGAACTATTTTTCTACGTGCTACCCATGTGGACTGTTCAAGCTGGAGGAGAAATGTAGTGTTATTCCCCATTAAGAAGGACATTCACCTTGTTTAAACCCTGAGGGTGCTGGCAAATACACTGTTAATGTAAAATCCACTGTGCCCTTGTTTGGCTGCACTGAAGGTGCAACTTATCTCTGTCACTTCTCCTTCTGGCTTTTGTGATTTGCAAAGGATCATATTACTGTCAAATCTGATATTATTCCATAAATGAAAAGAATTGAAAAAGCAGGTGATGCATTTCCTATGACCAATTTCAGAAGATTTGTTTTAAGGTTAATCTGTACTGAAACCCTCATTTACGATACTTTGAGTTAATTTTTTTTCTGGCCGATTGCTCTGAATAAAGAGCAAATAGCAGTGACCTGCAGTAGCCTAGCTAAAGCAAGAGTGACCACGCTGTGATGATACAGCTCCAAAGAGTGATTTGATTAGCAGCTCAAAATGTTAGCAATTCAATTAAGTTAGTCCCTGCTGGTGTGGACTCTACCTGTATCTGCACAGACTTGTTGTTCACCTATTCCTCTACAGTATAGCTGTGTAATGACTTTCCATCCTGTTGCTCCTTCATTCATGCTGTGACGCTTGCAGATTCATACACTAAATCAGATTAGAGAATTGAATAGCTGTTTTTCTTGCCAAATTATATTTCAGTTACATCAGTGAACTGATCTAGTTTTCCACACAGCCTTGCAAACCTTTGGCCAACCAAAGCTACGCTGAATAAATGGTTACTGCTAGTGAAGATGACTTCCTAAAGCCTCATTGCTGCTGAGAAAAAGGTGCGTAAATGAGCAATAGGAAGAGCTTCATCCAAAGCCCATCGCGGTTATGGCACTAACAGACACAAGCAGTGGCCCAATATATATATAACTGGAGCACATCACACTTGTGACTGCTGCTTACAAAAGGTGAGCTGTGCCTCTAAAAGCATGAAAAAGGAGTAGGCTATGGATTGAAAGACATACAATTAAAATGTGGTAAAATTGCCTCTGATTCTTTCAATGGTAAACTTGTTTCTGCTAGAGAAGGGTCATAGTTTTTTTTTCTAGGGGTTGAACTGTATGTATTTTAAAAATTTTTACAGTATTGTAAGTTACTCGAATCATGGAATCATTTGAGTTGGAAGGGACCTTTGAAAATCATCTAGTACAGCTCCCCTGAAATGAATGGGGGCAGCCACAGCTAGATCAGGGTGCTTAGAGCCCTATCCTTCCTCTCCTGGATCTGTGGATACAGCATTCTCTGTAGAAATAGTAAGCTATTGTTAAGGTAGCTAGCCCAGGTGCTTCCAGTCATCTGAGTAATCAGCCACTTGAACACCAACCCTGCAATTTTAGCTACTGTTGTTAATATCTGTAGTAGCAGTACATAAGGGAAAAAAATAGATTACAGCTATTTGCAGAAAGTAAAGATGTAAGAAGCAGCCCTCAGAAATAAAAAGAGGTGTTATTGAAAGCTATGCAGAAAATACATGCAGCCTACAGTATGACTTTCTGAAGAGAAATACTTCTCATATAAAGGACTTTTACCAAAGAA